TAATATGCTGAAATAAAAAAAAAATGTCATGTAAATTGAATCATGGAGTGTGTAGCCTTTTGAGACTGGCTTCTTTCACTTAGTACAATGCTTTTGAAATCTATCCATCCTATTGCATAGGTTAGTAGTACATTCGTTTTATTGCTGAGTAGTATTCCACTGTATAGATATACCACAATTTGTTTATCCATTTACCAGCTAAAGATATTTGGGTTGTTTCCAGTTTTGCGAAATTCTGAATAAAGCTGCTATAAACTCGCATGTATGGGTTTTGTGTGAACATAAGTTTTCCTTTCCCCTGAGAAAATACTTATGGGTAGGTTTGCTCATCTATATGATAAGTGTATGTTAACTTTATGAGAACCTGAAAGACTGTTTTCCAAAATGATACAGTCACCTTGCATTTTCACCAAAAATTCCTGAATATTCCAGTGCATCCTTGCCAGCATGTGGTATTTTTTTTTTTTGGCACCGTTTATCTGTTTAATCATGTCAAGGTTGCTATCTCTGAAATTTTATTGGCCTTTCTAGCATGTGATATTGTCACATATTGTCAATTAAAAAATGTTTTTAGCTATTCTAATAGGTATACAATAATAGCACATTGTGGTTTTAATTTGCATTTTTTTTTTTTGGTGAAAATATCAACATTTTCAGTTTTTTTCTCTTTCTCAAACAGATATTTTAGATCACCTAAAGGCTGGCCCCTCCACTGGAGCCTACGCCTCTTTACTTTGGTATGATGGATCCAGGGTTTCACTTCTGACAATTTTAACAAGGTGTGAGTTGTTAGAGGCACTTCATAGAGTCCCTTCCACTTCTCTGCTTCTCCAAAGAGAACCAAATTCTCAACTGAGAATCAGCATCTCTCAATCCAAAAGGGGACAAACTCAGCACCAAATTCTCTCAGACAAAAGAACCAAAATTTCCCAATCCTGCCTGGTTCCCTGGGAACTGCAAATGAGCTCAATCCAAACCATGTTCCCTAGTTCCACTCAACCTCGAAACAAATTAAACAGGGAGGTGTGAATACTCCACATATGGGTGGAAACAGGATCTTGGTGTCCCGGGGAACTTTACTTGCAAATGGCCATGGCTGTCGCGACACTTTCCAATCTGTTTTCCTCTCCTAAACTCAGTTCAGGTTGCAGGGAGCTGTGTCTACTTCAGGGAGACATAGACGGGTGTTCCCCGGAGCTAAAACAGGCTCCAGAAGGTGCTGGGGTCGTCCTTTGCTCTCTCATCTTGAAAATAAGTTGCTCCTACCCATGAGGACCCACAGGTTTGACCTGGGGCTGCTCCCTGCATCTTCCAGCAGTCGTGGGGTACCATTCCATCAGGGCACCAATGGGGCCCACCCAAGGATGCCAAATTCTGTTACCAAAAGTTCAGCATTTATTCTCAAGGCCACATCAGAAGAACAAGGACAAGTGGTTTGAGGAGAAGTAAAGAGGAGCTTACTAATTTGCCAGCCAATGAGGAGGTTGGTTGACTCCTATCTCAAAGTACCAACATCCTCTTAATTTGCATTTCTGTAATGACAGATGATGTTGAGCATCTTTTCATGGGCTTATTGGCCATGCATATGTCTTCCTTGGTGAAGTTTCTGTTCCATTATTTTGCCTCTTTTTTTATTGGCTTGTTTGTTTTCCTATTATTGAATTTTGAGAATTCTAATTTATATAGTCTGGATATATGTTCTTTATTAGGTATGTGTTTTGCAGATATTTTCTCCTATCTTTAGTTTGTCTTTTTATTTTCTTAACAGTGTCTTTCAAAGAACAGAAATTTTAAATTTTGATGAAGCCCAATTTATCAATATTTTCATTTATGGATTATGTTTTTGGTGTCTTCTCTATGAAAGACTAGCCTAATTATTATTATTTTTTAATTAAAAAAATTTTTTTTTAGAGATAGATCTCACTATGTTGCCCAGGCTGGTCTCAAACTCCTGGCCTCAAGTGATCTTTCTGCTTTGGCCTCCCAAAGTACTGGGATTAAAGGTGTGAGCTACCATGCTTAGCTCAATTGGCCTAATTAAAAATCTCAAAGATTTTCTATGGATGTTGAATTGTTTCAGCATTATTTTTTTGAAAAAACTATTCTTACATTGAATTAATTGCCTTTGCATGTAGGCCATAAATCAATTGGCTACATTTGTGTGAGTCTATTTGTAGACTTTATATTCTGTTCTATTGATTTATATGTTTATTCTTTTACCAATATCATGCTGTCTTCTCCCTTATCTGAGATTTATGTAAGAGAGAGAGAGAGAGAGAGAGAGAGAGAGAAAATACCACACTGTCTCGATTACTATAGCTTTACTATAGTTTTAGAATAAGTCTTGGAATTAGTTAGTATAAATCCTCTAACTTTGTTCTTTATTTAGGATTCTTTTGTTTGTTCTAGTTACTTTGACTTTCTTTTTTCAATTTTAGAACCAGCTTATTTATTTCCATGAAAATCTTGCTTGGTTTTGGTTGGGATTGTGTCAAATTTATAGATCAGTTTGGGGAGAACCAATCTCATGTCATTCTAGAGTAAGCTTAGCTCTAACCCCAGCTTCAAGGCACCAGTTCCTTGTTTCTGCCTTCCATTGCACCTGTTCAATTTCTGGGATTTCTGTAATCTCTCACCACCTCTCCATTCACTGGCATTCTCTTTGTTTGGCAGTGCTTCACCGATCTCTCGGATCTTTTTCTCTACTTCTAATCCCTTCTCCTATTCCATCCTGTACCATCTTGCTGCTACTATATCTTAAAACTTCCAATACCTCAATTCATTCCACTCTATCATTTATTCTTTGTTTCTGGAAAAACTGAACTACATGGTGTTCCTGTGACTGCTACCCACAATGCTCACATCCTTTTCCTGGAAATTCTTCCATGCTCCCTACCCCTCCTTCTACATATCTAAATTCTACATGTTCTTTGAGGAGTATTTCAAAATCTAATTTTGTCACAACATTTTCCAGAATCATTCTCTAGCTAAAAAAATAACCCACCTTTCCTATGAACTTGCTTAGTTCTCACTGCACCTTTGTAAGACAATGATTACTTTGTATTTCATCTGATAATTAGCAATATACTTACCTCTTCTATTTAATTTATAGTATAATTTTTCTGAGGACATAATCCAAATCTGATAAATCTCTGGATTTGTATTACCTGGCATATAGTAATTTCTCAATAAGTCTTTGGGGGAATTAATGAAAAATATACCAACTAAGCAGTGACGATAATATACAGTCAATCAAAGAGTATTGGAAGAATAAAGATTGGACCATCTATGTCAAGTCCTGACTAAGCCATCTATCACTTGTGTAAAACTTAGATGAAAAAGTTAAATCTCCCATTTTTTTCATTTGTACATTGGGAATCTAGGGTTAGGTCTGTACTCAATATTTTTAGGGTCATTCATTCAATAGACATTTATGGAGCACTTAGCCAAGAGAAGAAGATGTCTTAAGAAGGAGGGACAAATCAACTGTCAATGCTATTTGGAGATAAAGATGAAACCTGAGAATTGACCATGAAGTCTGACAATCTGGTTGTCACTTGCAATCTTGACAAAAGCTCTTCTGATGGCAGTGGTGGGGTTACAGTTTCATGAAAATGGGTTCATGAAAGATTAGGAGGTAAGTAGTGAAGGAAGTGAGTATGGAAAACTCTTTAATGGAGTTTGTTATTAATAGAGAGGGCTACAGAAATGAAACTTCTTAAAAACATGAGAGATAGTATGGCACATTTGGGGTTGATGGAAACTGTACAGTTGAGGAGAATAAAGTTGTGATACAGGAGTATGAAGAAATAATTGCAGGTGCAAAGTTCTTGAGTCGAGAAAGGAGTTAGGACATAGTGTAGAAGTGGAAAGGTTTCCCTGGGATGTCCATCCATTGGATAGGACAACAGGAAGCAAGTCGTAGATGTGGAGAGGGGCATCAGCTGAGAGTGAGGAGGGGGAGCGTGTGTTGAGGCTGGAGGAAAGGTGAGAAAGGAGAAATGATTTAGAAAGTAGGGCAGTGAGTGAGTCGACTAGAAAACATAGTAGGATTGCCAGCTCTCTTGAATTTTGTGATTATAAACTTAAAATGGGACTGATCACTTGGCTTTGTGTTTTTCTTCAGTCAATTTTCTTCATCTACAACTGCTAGACTTTGGATCTGGAATAAACGGAGACTTAGATTTGGCTTGGGGTGGAATTTCACCTGCTGAATAAGATGGTGAGAGGGAGGGACAAAGAATTGAGTTTATTCAGGGAAATAATTCTAGTGATGTGCAAGGGAAACCAAGATGTGTAAGGAGCAAGTTCAGAAATGAGATGGTACTGAAAAAAGGGCAGGGCCAATGGATTGGGGTAACCACATGGGTCAAAACATCGTGGAGAATGAACTAGAAAAAATAGGAGTTGGTGACTGTAGAGTAGAATGCTAGCAAGTGAGATTCTAGAGGTGGGAGAGTTGTTGGATACGACAAAGTTCAGGATGTGACAAGGGGCCTGAATGACTGAAGTAGGTGAAGAACAGGATGGTTGAAGGACAGGAGTTTAAGAAGTGAGAAGTCTGGTGTTAAGTAGATGAATCACCTACATGGACACTGATATCACCAAAAAGATGACAAGGAAGGTAGCAGAAAGAGAAAGTGACCCAGGTTATATATGCCTTTGAAATAATGATGAAAGATACACACAATATCATTTTAGAAAAATGCATGTGCACATATACTTTTGACCACGTAATAGTCAATACCCCCTCCCCCGTGGATAGATCTCTAGACCAGGTGAACATTAAAGTAGCTTCTAATTACAAAATTTAAAATTTATCCTCTGGTAGGTTTACAATCTTCCTCTATCATCCATCCATCCATCCATCCATCCATCCATCCATCCGACTGATCATTGTTTACCTGTGCTTTGGTTAAATATCCTGAGAGAATCTTGTTCTTTGAACGGAGCGGCAAAGAAACGTTTTTCCCCATTTTCAACGGTAGGGGGCACCCTAGCATTTCCAAACTTAGCGATGAGCCTTAGCCCACTGTGCAGAATAGCTTCGGCGAAAAGAGGACGATAAGCTGGAGGAAGGAGACTGCTTAACGCCGCAATTTGCAAAATCTAGGATGATTCATGCAGTTTCTTCTTTTATTATTTAGTGGCAGTGATTAGGCTGAAAAGGAACATTTTAAATAGTAATAGTAAGCTAGAGGGAAGATTTGTTTGCATCATAAAGTGTCATCTCTTAGTGAAAGAAGTAAAGCAGTGTGAAATAGTCAGGTGAGATATAAATAAATATCCAAATATGTCATGGTGTTCTCACCTAAATCATGTTTCTATAGGGTTCAGGACAGTCTTGTTAATAGTGAAATATACTGAACCCATAAAAACTTTAAAAAGCCACTATTTCCTAGCTCAGGCAAATAAACTTAATAATTTTGTTCACAACATAGCCAACAAACTGAGGAAATTGTTGAAAATATTAATATTATGCTGGCCAATAAAGGGTAATTTTATTTTATGTAACAACCACTTATAAAAACTCATCGTGGCTCGATGTGAAGAGCTGGGCTAGCTGGAGGTTAACACCCCAATCATAAACCAACAATGAGGATAGACGTGAAGGGCATTTCTTCTATTATAAAACATTTACAGTAATAACCTTGTAAAAAATAATGGGATGTATTTAAAGCTCATTTATTTCCCAGCTAAGTGGCAATTTCCCATCACTCAAAATGTTAATACAATCCTCCTGAAACCCTAGGGATAATCCAATTCATGTGTATTCATTAAAAAAAAAAACCTGGTTAAAATAAGCAGGTGATTCTGTTTTAATAATATCTGTCCTGCTAGCAATAAGACAGTCTCAGTTGCAAATAAATATATCAACAACAGATTTTCTTTAAAGCACACAGGGTCTCATATCATTCCCAAATTAGCCAATTAGCACAATGCTATTGGAAGAGCTAATTAAAAAGTGCATTTAGACTAAGAAATGTTTCCTGAGAGTAATCTGGTGCTTATAGCTCTTCTTCCACCTGTAATTACTCTGCCTGATTTTTCACTCTGTAGATAGGGGTGAACACACCTTCACCTGGGAAGAGGAAAAGATTTTTTTT